CCAGATGGCTTTGAAGAGATTCTGGTCCACCATCCAGCGGCTCCGGGCGGGAAAGCAGTGCGGCATCAACACTGTTTATGGTGGGGATGGGGTGCTGCTGACCTCAGCTCGGAACTTTGTGGGTCGGTGGAAGGAGTACTTCGAAGACCTCCTCAATCCCACCGACACGCCTTCCAATGAGGAGGCAGAGTCTGGGGACTCCTCATTGGCCGGGCCCCGGGGTGGGGGTGGTTGAGATCCGCCCGGAGTTCCTTAAGGCTCTGGATGTTGCAGGGTTGTCCTGGTTGAAACGCATCTGCAGCATCGCGTGGACATTGGGGGAGGTGCCTCTGGACTGGCAGACCAGGGTGGGGGTCCCCCTATTTAAGAAAGGGGACCGGAGGGTGTGTTCTAACTACAGAGGGATCACACTCTTCAGCCTCCCTGGAAAGGTCTATTCGGGGGTCCTGGAGAGGGAAGGATGGAGCGGGAGATCGACAGACGGATCAGCAGTGATGCGGGCACTGCATCGGTCTGTCATGGTGATGAAGGAGCCAAAAGGCAAAGCTACCTTTCTACCCTCACCTATGGTCGTGAGCTGTGGGTAGTGACCGAAGGAATGAGGTTGTGAATACAAGCGGCCGAAATGAGTTTCCTCCGCAGGGTGACCGGGCTCTCCCTTAGAGATAGGGCGAGAAACTCGGTCATTCGGACCGGAGGTACTGTATGCTGGCCATTTGCAACACAATTTGCAGATTTTCTTGCTCAGACACACCTACTAAACCTGGTAATTAGCATATTAAGGAGTGTTTGAGCAGGAAAATATACTGTAACATTGAGAAACAAAGTCCTATTAACCTATTGTATCTCAAATAGAAGCACACCATAAAAGTTACTGCATTACTGCTTTAATATCTAATAATGTTACATAAAAAAATTGTTTTGTATATACTGTAGTTCAAATTCTTTTAAATGTCAGGCATCATATGCATTCAAAGCAAAAGTCTATTTTATTTTTGCAGACGATTTGGCAACTATTCTAGTAGTATGTAGATTTTAATTACTTGAACTGAGATAAAAGTAAACATCTCTGTTCTAATTTTATAAAATGTGTGCTTCTCACAAGTGAACTAATCATCCTCTTTGGTTCTCCTGGGTTATACTCAATCAGATCATTTTAAATCCACTATACAGACAAACTGATAGTTCCTTCATGCTTTCTGTGAATATGTTATGTTGTTTGAACACATATAAAACAGAATATTTTAAACAAAAAAGTATACTGTATAATATTGTTTGAACATATATAAAACATATATTTTTTTTTACAAAAAAGTATATTTGTTTACGAGCTTCTACATATGCTGTAACAAAAACAGTTAAATACACCTTTATTTATTTTTTTATTTAGATTTAGTGAAATATTTTCATTTTCTAACAGAAAATTATCTCACCACAGACAAACAAGGTGCTTATATCATTTTAACAGTTACAATTGCCCCCGATATTGCAGTTATGATAAAATCTTGTATGCTACCTAGCAACATCTATACTTGCATAGACTGTTCATGTTCATTTTTAACCCAAACCCTAAAGATTAATTTGATGTTAGTTTAAATTCGCTGTCATCTAAACTTTAGGCAGCAGAAGAAAAATACCATACATCCAAAAAGTTACCTCCTTACTTCAAAATCAGTTTTTATTGAAAACTTGAATGAATGAATGAATGCCTTTTATTGTCACTATACACATGTAGAATGAGATTAAGAGCAGCTCCTTCAGTGCAAGCATGTAGACACGACAAACAATAAAGAAATAGTGCAAAAGTTCTGCAGCGTTACATACATATGGAATAAATAACTAAATAGGGTCTTTTAAATATATGAATATACAGTGTGATATGCAGTGTGGGAACCAAAAGGTTCCTTGGTACGGAGATACTACTTCCAGTATAAACGCAAGGTCAGTATTCTTATTTTGTTTTGTTCATATGATGGACCTCACCTCGACAAATTTAATCAGGAGAGGGTTCGATGGATCAAGGACGTCCGGACAGGGATCAGGCAAACGCCCATCTGTCCAGGGATTCTGAACGGTTGATGTCACTCGTACATTACATTTCGAAAATACCGCGCGATCCTAATCAGACAAATGGTTGGATGGATGTAATGACTTAGGCTGAACCACTAGATGTCGACATTTCACAAAATATCACGTTCATTTGGACGTCGTTGTGTTATTACTCAATTAGGGGGGTGCATTTCCACCGCACCCGGTACATTAGCCTACTTTTGGTACGGTACTTTCGGTAGCCTACTTTTCCTTTTCAATTAGCTGTGGTCGACTATCAGCATCAAAAGTGCCAATACATAAAGTGCCAAACCACTTGATACTTCGGTACTTTGGCATGGAACATGAAACGCTTTCTTTGTCGACTGTTTATGGGTCATTCCACCAAATCTGTGCCATTTCTGTCCACAGCATGGGCGTAATTTCCAGGGGGGTTAGGGGGGTCATGACCCCCCCAATAATCAGATCCAGCCAATATAACCCCCCCAATAATCATGTTTCCCCTGTAATGGGTGGAGACCTCGACCCCCCCAATGTTCCAGCCAAAGTTACGCCCTTGGTCCCCAGGACATTATATGTGTAAAATTGTAAGAAAAGTAGCCTAGCTACACCTATTATTATTAAATCAAAGTGCTCTCCACAGTGTGCTCATCGCAAATTTAACATACATGGTGCAAAACATTAATGAAAACTAAGTAGAACACCGAAAAAAAGTCTGTCACCTGTCTCTGCTCACTAATGCTACACTTCATCACGAAATATGACTAAAAACCTTCAAAATATATTTTTGCAATTGTTGTGTGACAGTATTTCCCATCATTTTCCTTATAGTAAGTCAATATTATGCTAGTTAAAATGCACATTTCAGTGGTGTCCTTCGGGTTTTCACTCCGTACTGGTGCCCCAATACATTTCTGCCCCTAAATTTGGCACCTTCCACAAATGGCATGTTCAGCTGGAACTTGCATCATCGCAGTCTCTTGTGGACCACCGTAAAACCAAAAGTAAGTTCTCTCTCTTTCTTTCCGGTATTTTTGACGATATTGTCAGCAGGTCTGAGGTGGTCGAACTCAACGCTCAGTCCTCTACCCAAATTATTTCTTAGATTATATATATATATTTTTTTTAAGAAACATTTTTGGTTAAGTTACTTCAATGCACACAATGTTATAATACTATTAGCTTTGATGACATGTGTTTATGAATTTGCTAATTTTATGCTAAAACTCAGTCATGTTACTTTCTGTCCTGTTATTCATTTAAAGAGAAAATAAAAACTGTACATATGAGCAAGTTGTTATTTATTTATTTATTTATTTAATTACATGTTTACATTTTTTGAACATGTAACCAAACATTTCATTAAAATACACACTTTATTGACACAAAAGACCTACTGTAGTTGATATGACTTTCAAATGATATTAAATAATATAATAATTATAAACAGTGGCTTGAGGTTTTGGTAACAGGACTTTGAAAAAAGCAAATACTTTACACTTAAAACCCTTGAAAAAGTTACCTGAGACTGACCAGTGCACGTTTTGGGTAGTTAAATATGTCATTAGATGCAGTGTTGAAAAAGATGGAAAAAAATACATTTGGTTTTGAAGATTTATAACATGCAAATGGAACCGACTCGGTGGAATCACCCTTATGCAAATCGCCTGCCTTTGAAAGACAATACAACCGCCATATTTAAAAGAAATGTTAACTTAGAAAACAGCAATCAACAAAGTGAGAAAAAAAATAAAAGTATTAATAATGTATGTATGGACAAATGAAAGACCCAAGTTGAATTTTCGATCTGGTCGGAAGAACAGACAGCAAGATAGGAAACGACAAGACAAGAAATGAGGTGTTTTATATAATATACTTGGGCAGCACCGTATTATTTTGTTGTAATAAAAATCGGGGTATTTATGAAACAAAAAAAAGCAGTTCAACATAAATTTCTCAGGAACCCGTCTATTAGTGATTTAACCAGCAAGGATGAAAATGATTATGATTGTCTCAGAGAATGCATACAGCGCTCTTTCAAAAGCAGCCGAGGTATAACTTTAAACTGATTTTTAAACATACAATAGATAATCTTGAAAAGGGATAATAAATAAAATTGCAAAACTTGCTAAGTTTTTTTCCTATGACAGAGTTAAAATGTGCAGCTTAAACTCCCTGCGCTATAACGTCCGTACAGAATTGATCATGTTGTCACGCCCGGCTCGTCTGATCCTCGTGTGTGCCACGGCCCCCTCGTTACCTCGTGTTACTACCCAATTGTCATCAGCTGTTCCTTGTGCTTTCCTACCCGTCTGGTGTATTTAGTCGGCGTCTGTACCTGTATTCCCTAGTTCTGTCATTGACGTTGTCCGACGTAGTGCCTGGTCCTGTCCCTGTCTGCCCGTCTGTAATCAATAAACCCCGTTTGCCTGTCAGTCCGGCTCAGCTTGCCTGCTTTCCGGCTCGCCTGCACCGCGACCGTAACACATGTGATGTTGGTATTAATATCGCACATCGGCCAGCCCTATAATATACTACAGCCAGGGGTGTGGCACCAGTACCGGTTTTTACGCCAACACTTTGAAGCACCAAAAGTACGGTACCTGGTACAGTGGAACAGCGCCCTGAGTGGGTAGTGTATAGGTTTTAAACTTGCTCTCACTGACGTGTTTGCTTTGCATCACAGCCAACCTCCGGAGCTGTTACAACAATGTTAATATTATGTCTGCTTTTTGCCACTCTGTACACCTTTGTCGTAATTGAACATATTTATCTGATGGTGTAATCACACAACAAAAGAGGAATCAGTGGTATGACAGACATCCTTAATTTCTAAATAGAAGCGAAGGTGGAAAGTTTAGGAAATCTTCCAACTTTTCAGTCTACCCAAAAATAAGCTATTATTTTCACCCCAAAAAGCCACTATTAAAACATGAAATACAAGCCACAGGTTACAACAAACCAGTTTATTCTGGGGTTTAGTCTGTCAAAAGAGCGGTTGCAGCTTGTGTTTATAACAGATACATACAAGGATATATACAGCGATATTCAGGTAAAACGGCTTGTTAAGTCCTCTCTTATTTACATAATTACACGCTGATTTATTTAACACAGCCGATAAACTCTGCAGCTGGGAGCGATCATCACAAAAGTGCTGACAGTCTTTAACCATGATGCCATTGCGCATTTGAGAGAGAAACAACACATTTGCACTCTAAGATGACTATAACTGACATTAAATCACTGGTTTCTATCGTGAAGAGTTAGAGTTCCCTAGTCCTTTCCCCTGGCTCAAAAATCATTATATAGAATAACATGGAGACGTGCTGGGGTCTGGCTTTGTTTCTGGGCACCGCAACTTGCCACAAAAAGCACATACGTCTAGCCAGCGTCCGCCCTACATAACAATCTAGGCCTAACACTAAAGTCATTTGCTGTGAGCGAAGACGACTATGTGAAGGCAGTTTCCCACCAGCAGCCAACACTAATCTGAGGAAATTACGGCCGGCTTGCGGTCTTCCTGCGATGCATTTACGTTGCCTGACACATTTTCTCCATTTCACTGTATTTAAGAGTTCGTGTTATGCTCTTGGGCTATCGTGGGGGGTCCCTCGGGGGCACCAAGGACGGGGACGCGGCCCTTGAAGACGGAATAGACGCAGGAGAAGGACAACGTGACGGCCATTCAGCCAGAACATACGTGGTCTGCAGTGCCTCCTTCTGGCCGCCAGTGTTCACATGACTCTGAATTTTCCTTAGGGCGACTTCACTGTATATAATCACACTGGAGACCTCCAGCTCTCCTTGCTGGTGGGACACAGAAAAGGGCAGGGTCTCTAATCAATCGTTTTATGCACTTCTTGGCTGCAGCAGGAAATGTTTCCCAGTGTACTGAGATGATCTTTTTTTAAAAAAAAAATAATTTTATCATTTTATTATTTCCTTCCTTTTATCATTTATTTTTATTCTTATTGTTGTTTCATAGGTTTCTAAAAACTGTTTACAGCTAATCCATTGGTTTACTCAGGGAAGATACATGGTGAGCTGTTTCTAGTGAGATGTTTCTAGTTTTTCTTAACGGAAAAAAGAAAACCTTATGTCATGCTACCAATTTTTGTCCTAAGCCAGAGGCGGTTCTGGGGGGGGGGGGCCCAAGTGCCCCCAAGACCACATGCATACCCCCCGTGGCCGCCCTAAATACATATGCTACTTGGGTCTGATATAAATCTTTTATTATTATTACTATTATTCACATTTATATATGTGGGCTAAAATGTTGTGCGCTGGCGACAGGGGAAACACAAATATAAGCACTGAAGAGTCGCTTCAGTCACTGAAAAGCGAAATTAACGACAGAAAATAATAGCTATGCTTGTGGGAAGCAAGACAGTCTAAACGAGAAATCAGAATGAGTTACATATTTGAAAAAACTGTAAAATATAATTGAGAGCATTGCACAACATCGATTTTCAAAATTGTCTTTTGCTTCTTAATTGTGACAATCTAGTGTAAGTAATACTTTAAGGTCAAATGCATCTGGTCCCCCTAACACAGGGGTGGCCAATCTTATCCGCAAAGGGCCGCTGTGTATGCGGGTTTTCGCTGCAACTCCCTAATTAGATTACTAATTAGAGGACTGATTGGCTGAAGAGTCCTCACACCTGGGTTTGAACAGCTGACCTAAAGGTTATCCCAAAAACCTGGATACACACCGGCCCTTTGCGGATAAGATTGGGCACCCCTGCCCTAACAGAACAACTGGCTTCAGTTTGCCTTCCCCCCCAAGCACCGACTGGATCTGTAACTGTGACTGAGGAAATATCATTAAAATAATAACAATAGGACTAATTATCTTTCCACATTTCACTGTCATGGATGGTTTTTCAAACCAGCAGCTCAGTAAAAACGCTGGAGTAATGAAGGGGGGTCATCATTCTTTATTTCAGTACACTAGGAAACATTATCCCAAACGGTCGTATTAAGTTTTTGTCATTGTCCAAGGTACGCATAAATGAAAACGAGGCGGCGGCCATTTTACCGGGGTGCGAATGACAACAGCAGCAAGAAAACCCCGAATCTAAGTTTCTTCTATATACCTCCGGATCGTACAAATCAAGGCAAAGATACCGAAGAGCTACCGGAAGGCTACAGAAAAGATCCATCGATCGAAATAAATTGAACGACGATACTGTCAAGAAGTGGCACGTTCTGTGTTTTTGATAATGGGCCGTATTTCAGTTAAATTCATTAAAAATGCGTATTCATTTCCTTTTGAGCATTTTGTTATTTGTATTTTGCTGGACGGAAAAAATCAGATGTAGGCTAATTTGTAACAAAACAGATTGAGAGACTATTCTGTGTACTTAAAACACTTAATAAAATGCCATTTTAAGAACGTTCATCGGTAGGCTTACAGACTTTTAAATACAGCCTATCGCCATCCTTCGCATTATTCCAAGGAAAGAAGCTGATTTGGTGATCGGCGCAAATTGCCTATTAGTATATGCAGTGAAATAGGCATATATATTATATTATATATATATATATATATATATATATATATATATATATATATATATATATATATATATAGGCCCTATACAGTATATATATTGCTGACTGAATGTTAGTATAGGACGATTAGCTAACAGCAGTACTGTGCTCTCGTAAATTAACTCGCTAAACTCACATGCTCAGGCAGTGGCATCTTGTGGTTTGTCATATATGGAAACCTTCATTAGCGATAAATCAGGCGAGCTAGTTTTGTTCCTAAGGACAAAGTTAATTTCTATCATCTAAACGTGGGAGTTTTTATAGCCACTGAGCTTGAGTAAAAGGGAGAACCGACTGGTGAACTTGACGTTGCATATCATCTGCGTCGCAGTCGCTGGCCCCGTTTGTATTTTTTGAGTGTATATCTAAATAACAGTTTCTTTGAGCTTATGTTCGGCACCCTAATGTAAGATAAAGCTGGGAATTCACGCATTATGATCATTTAAGAAAACGGCACCTCATTTTGCCTGCAATTACACTTTATGGTTAACTGTGTGGTAGATTACTTCCTTCAAATGATACGAAGAAATGCCTCAGTCCCATTTGCCTGAACAAAATACAGCTTTTCATAGTCTTGAGCACTCGCTATACATTTAGTTTATATGAAACTTTCTTTAACATTGAAAAGAAATAGAGAACTTTATGCATCTGTGCGACGGACGTCTCCAACATTCCCTGGTAAAATGGCCGCTACGCAGAAATCGTGACGTAAAACGCATGTAACTTAATACAACCCATTACCTACATATATTATGGAATTTGAATTAACCTTTTAATATCATCACAGAAGTGAGATGTGCGCCATTTAAAGTAGCGATACATCAAAAGTCGCAACGTTTCAACATGATAAAAACGACGCCGAGGATTTACCGCCGCCTTTGGATGTCGAGACGCAGCCAAGTCGACTTCAGCGTACAGCACTTCTGACACGCCATCGTCGTCTTGATCTAAAGAGACCAAAAACGGGGATTTATTTGAAAACTTCACAGATCCATGTTACGGCGCCTGAGGCACTTGGAGGCACCGACCTGGCTGCAACAGCTGCATGTTCTCGCGCTCCTCACGTGCACTGCGTCGTACGCATTCTGGCCCTTAAATGGAATATCAGCATTAAGAAAAGGCAAGCCGAGCGCGCAGTCAGCATTTCACTCACTGCCAGGCTGAAACCCGTACAAGTGACAGAAAATGAAACCATTGGTCTTTGTATGCCACTGTATGTAGCCCACTTATGTGAAATTGGTTTTATGTAACGCTGCTTTTCATTTGCCTGCAAAATTGTTTGGTATTACTTTGCTTGATGGATACAAATACAAATCATGAACAAATGTCGTTCATAAATTATGTGTAATACATAATGCACAATGCGCATATTTTTTTGCATTTGTACATTTTGCATATTTGTACATATTTATTTTTAAATTTTGTAATTTGGCGTTATGTCTACGCGTATGCCTACCTCGTGTCTGTGTATTCCTGTAATTTATGTAAATTAGTACTGCAGCACAAAAAATTCCCCTTGGGGATAAATATGGCATTGTGCATCTGAGGAGTAGCTACTTGATATATAAAAGATGCATCATGATTCATTAATGATGAACAAACGTGAGGTCGGTATTTCACTTGTGTTATTCATGACTTGTTCCTTCAATAACAACAAGTATTGTGTTTGCTGGAGATAACAGATGTGTTAGGATTCAGCAATGATGAACGAACGTGAGATCAGTATGTAACTAAGACTTAATTAGTTTGTGGTTGGTTAATTTATAAGTAATAGCATAATACTATATTATTTTTGCCCCTCAAGTAAAATGTTACAAATTGTTTTTACACTTTTTGAACATTTGGGCTGCATAGATAATACAGGTGTTATCATTCAGCTTTAAAAAAACATACTAAGAAAAATTAAGGAGGGCAGCATGTGGCTCAGTGGGTTAAGCCTCTGCGCCTGTGACCGGAAGGTTGCTGGTTGTAGTCCCAGCCACAGGAGGATAGCTAGGTCTATGGGCCCTTGAGCACGGCCACTAACCCTTCACTGCCAAGCCTGCTGTAACCTACATACATGTCTGTGTGTCATTGATCCCATGGGGATCAATGACGTCTCATTGTTGTTAAATATTTTGCACAGATAAATGTTTAAAGCAGGGGTATCAAACTGCAGTCCTGGGAAGGAGGGGGGGGGGAGCCCTGCACATTTTTGGGTTTCCCCTCATTTTACACACTGATTCAACTCAGTGTGCTAATTACCACACAGCACTTGAGCTGAATCATTTGTGGCGGAACAGGGAAAAAACTAAGCTATACAGGGCTCCCCCCCCCCCAGGACTGGATTTTGACACCCCTGGTGTAAGTAGAACTTCTCATTCCTGGAAGGTTTGTGTTCCGCACCTTGTACTGTAGTGGCGGCTCCGTCAGTCGTGCTGCAAGAGAAACAGGCAGATATTGTTATAAATTAGCCAGAAAAAGCCAGGCCTAGTTAATTGTATTGTGTGGAGTATCCATACCCCCGCTGGCCTGCCACCAGCAATCGGCACCGCAAACCTAGGCACCATGCCTTGCATCTGTTTCCATTCATTGGGACACCATTGCAAAACCGATAGTTTCGTTCGTAGTATCTTACTGCAAGACTGTGTGCTTTTTGTAAGGCACGGCATTACCGGCATTGGCGAGACTAAAGGCAGCATGTTTTAATTGTTATACTTTCATTTTTAAAAACACCATGGCCCTACGATTTGGACTCCATCCCCACCCCCAGCACCCCGCCGTTTTCATATGCAGAGAAAATGAATACTGCGGTCGTCTTCTCAGTTCACACGTTGCACGCCAGAGTGGTTTCCTCTCCACCACAAACATAAGACACAAGTGGTCCGGCAGTATACAGCCCGTGTGTGTTTTTTTTTCTTCTTTGAGAACATTTAGAAAGGTTCACAAAAGCCGTGGTATAATTAGATGATAAACGAATTCTGAAAAGTAAAAGTAGTCTTACCTTTTTGGAACGGGACCTGAATAATGGAAAAAAACGGGTGAAGGGGTACGTTGCTGAAATTCTGGTGTTTTGGACGCGTAATAAATCGTGAGCGGTCTGTTGATTTAATTTATGCAAAATGTCAGGCGAGGAAGAAGCACAGTCCAGCTAGTAAGTAAACGAGAAGCCGGCTGTTTGTTACTTTGTACGCGGTTTAGCTGAAGGCAGGTACCTCGGTTCGGCGGAGTTCTCCACCGAGTAGTGAGCCAGAGAATGACAGACAGCAGCGTGATGAAGAGAACAGCTCCGAACATGTAAAGTGCAATGGAGTCTGTAAATGAATCATCCAAAGAACATATATCATCATCATCATCATCATCATCCTCATCATCAACTGCCTTTAAAGTTCATTCTTCTTAAAATTAAGTCTGTTAAACTCAAATAAGAAACTGCTGCTCGTTATGGAAACGACATATTTTTAATTAGGTCTACATGAGTAAGACAGGGGCGATTCCAGGATTTGACCCACGAGGGGATTCCCCAAGATACGGGACGCCACCCCTCTCCCCGGGTACGATAAAATTGTGAAATTATCATTAAAGATCAGTTAACGTTCAGTGCAGCGTGCAGGTTTGTGTAACGAAAGGTCCCCACATGAATACAGTGCTGAGTGTAAACGCAACACAGGAAACCAGCTACTATTTACTACTGGGGCCTTTAACTGGAAAAGGGGGGGGGGGGGGTCCCCCATGGTAAAATTTGCCAGGCAGGGGGTACGAAATGTATGTGAAAATAAGGAACAAATCACCAAATAGTTTAAAAATAATTTTCTGTGGGATTGAGACAAAAAAAGTCTAGAACCGTCTATGGAGCAGGATAAATGTCAGTTAGCAGGTATAATTACGGTGCGACATGTGTATTGCCTAATAATGGAGCAGCATATAATCATCACTGGCTGGTTTTCTTTTGGACTTCCAGCCGTCGGGTTAACAGAAGCATCTGGCACAGAGCAGGGACACCAGGCCGGCGAGACGCTACACAAAAACCTCCCAAGTCGACACAGAGATGCACGTCAGGGACTAAAAGGCACGCAGGATGTTGTCTGCATGCTGGAAACGGCAGCAAACCAGTTAAAGGCCCCAGTAGCGAACAGTAGCTGGATTACTGTGTTGTCTTTACACTCAGTATTGTTTTCATGTGCTGGCCCTTCATTACGCAAACCTGAATGCTGCATTCTCAACTGATCTTTAATTACAATTTCACAGTTAAAAACATTCGTTTCAAGCCATTTCTTCCAAAAATCCAGGCGATATTCTACTCACACGTACCAGTGTTTCTCGGAGATACCAGTAGGACCATACTGGCATTACTTTCTCCATACTGGTTTTTTGCCACACACCAGTACATCCCTTCGTGCTCTTCCGTGACAGTGTCTATGATCAGGTTACTCCCAGATGAAATCCTGGTCATGTTTCTCCACATCCACTGAATGTTGGGGAGGGGTCTCCCGCTCGCAGTACACGCTACGTTCAGCAGGGAGCCCTCCACCAGCTGCAGCGTGCCGTCCGTCATGTGACCCAGGTCAGAGGTCACGTGAATGGCTCTTGGGCTGTCTAGGAAGGGGATATCGCCAAGGTGATTAGCATCAAGGGCTAAGCTACCGGACAGCAACACATGGGCCATCTCATTAGTTAATGGTGTTAAGGGTTAGTTACATATCTGCATTAACATGCTATTTCCTTCATGTCTCTAAATCAGTGTTTATCAACCCAGTCCTCGGGATCCCCTAGACGGTCCACATTTTTGCTCCTTTCCAGCTCCCAGCCAATTAGGAACATCGAATATCTGGTACAGGCATGCTGGGAGAGAGGAAATACCTGGACTGTCTGAGGGTCCCAGAGGACCGGGTTGGGAATCACTGTTCTAAATGTTTATCCTTGAGGTATCTGTCTCTCAGCGGGGCACTCTGCAGACTCACAGCTGACGTTGAGCATGACCCAGGCTTCTCTCTCCCGTGTCCACAGGTGGTGATAAAGTTTGCAGAGGCATGGCGTGTCATTTTCTCCTGCCGTGGGGGTGAACTTATACCGGCTGTGCAGGGAGGAGATGCCGTCCGCCTCGGTGGTGAAATTATCGTGAATGCTCTCCTTTGGCGCTCTCCGCTCTCCGCACAGCCAGCTCACCATCACGTTGGCGGGGTAGAAACGACGGGCGTCGCATTGTAATTCAGCCTCTTTTCCCTCCTCCAAATCCTGGGGCTGTATCCATAGCGACACGGGCTCGGCTGGGGCAGGAAAACAGCGGCCATTTGTGAGGTTAATGCTGACCGATTCATATAATGGAATTTATCCAGCAAATAGTGAATTTTAATTCATATACATTCAGTTCTATCAGCCATGAAGATACTTAATAATCAACTGCATGTTACTCTCAAATAATCCATGATATAAAATGTCATACTCAAAATGAGCATTATATTATTATACCAAAAGTAATAAACATCAAAAGCAGTACTGATCATGGCGATTCACCAGTGTATCTGAATCATGGTTTATTATTAATCATTACCAAAACATGAGTGACACAAAGTATAGACCTCATCTTGCAGACTTCTTACTCACCATACAGTAAGATAATGGTGCCATTTCCAGACTTGACCACTGATGCACCGGGTCTTGGGATCGTAACCTCACAGATGAATTTGGCTGAACTTAAATTAAGCGTAACATTAATTATGGAAAACATTTCACAGTTCTTAAGCTGTCCGTCTGTCTGGCAGCTGATATTGGCTGTCCCAGCGTTTACCCCCTGGGACTCTCTATAGAACTTGGCAAACAGCACGTCGTTGGGTTGGGCCTCATAGCGGAACCGGCAGCTCAGCCTCACCGAGGTTCCCACAGCTGCCTTGACCTCCTTCTCCTGCACAACCAACATAGGGAGGGCCTCCGTTCCTGTGATATTGCATGGTGAAAGAGAAAACACAGAAAGACAAAATATAGAGATCAATTTTGCTGTGTAACTCTAGGCTTTGTTGCCCTGGGCCTCCTCCATCCATATTCTGCTGGTACCTCGAAGACCACTGAGCAAAGCGATTCGCTGAAGCCTATTAGGGTCATTTCTGAATCTGATTTGCCCGTGTTCCTCAGAAAATCAAGGGAACTTCCCCATTGCACTAATTTGCCTTGCATTTTAATTAAATGCATTTAAAACTTTACCACAAATGCTTGCGGATGTCACGTCACAGGCAAAGACGGAGACGAAGGCAAGCATGGGGGAAAATAAATCAAAAAGGGCTTTATTAGACAAAACTACAAGCAGGTCAAAAGGTAAGGGACCAC